CACACTTGGTGTGCTCCGTTTTCTCTGGTATAGCATTGTTTTTTGGCACATTTTGTTTGTGAGCATGAACAGTAAACTAATAGTTCTTTCAGTTTTTCACCTGGTTTTTGCATTATATTGATTGTCAGTTGGGATTGTTTAATGGCTTTATGAATCTTGGTTGTGATCATGTTGTTTATGAAAAGATTGTTCATTGTGGGTGTTTTCATATAGGTCTTTTATGTTTTTTGGTCTGTTGCTGTTGTAATTTTTTGTTTTTTAGTGATTTGAAAACATTGTTATAACATTTTAGGCATGGAGCAGTTTCGTTTTGTTACCTTTATTTTTCCTATTATTTTTCCCCTTTTGACTTGGTCTGGGTGGTGTAATGTGTAATTTTTAGTTATGTCTAAGAATGTTAAGTTTCCTTTTGCATTGGCTAGTATTAGTGTGAACTTGATTGATGGGTGAAGTTGTTTAGGAAATAGTAAAACTGCTGTAGTGTTTCTCTTTCATGATACCAAATATTAAATGTCACAGATGTATCTGTATCACACTAATGGAATTAAACTTGTTATTTTTTCTATGTGTGTCAAGGGTTTTGGTTTCTAGTATATACATGAATATTATTGCAGGTGTGACTGCTGCTTTTTTCTTTTGTTTCTACAAAGTGTATCCAAATTTAAAATAACTGTTGTACAGGACAAAAGTGCTGATCAAGTGAAGATACGAGGTTGATGATGCTCTCTAGCCTTTTTCTATGGGTACAAAGTGATTACATCTAAGGAAATGAAATGGAGTCAGAGCATATTGTTTGTTCAGAAGAGAGTATATTTTTTATGCTTTCTTCATATCTGACTCTTCTTCTCCTTCTCACGGTGCTTTTAATAAGGGTGAAAATCCTGTAACTGCTTGTGGTAAGCAAATAATACTACCTGCAGGTACCTGTCCCAATCATCTTCTTGAGCATGCTCTTTAAGACTCCACTGACTTTCTCACAAAGTCCATTACATAAGGGGTTGTAATGGTAGAGAGCTGCCTAGAACTGATGAGACTGCACACTTCTTGCATCAGTTCTGAGGTAAACTTAGTCTCAAGACTTCTTTCGGAAAGCCTACTCTGCAAAATACTTTCAGGAGGGCTTTGCTACTCTCTCTATCTCTATCTGCTATGGCTTCTGGGTAATGTAATGCATAGTCAACTACTGGCAGCACATAACCGTTGCCCTTGTTAGATACAGGTGTTAGTGGTCTGATCATGTCCACAGCTACTCTACTGAACAGCTCTTCTATGAGGGGTATCTCATCCAGTGACACCTTGGCTACCTTCCCTCTAAGTATTGTCCTTTGGCAGATGTCACATGACCTGCAGAATCTGGTCACATTTCCAATGACTCCTGGCCAATAGAAGTTGCTAGTGATTCATGGGACATTGAGAAAGTTTTCCATAGCAAGAATAAAGGTGGACACTTCATACTTCGTGGGAGACTTTAGGCCATGTGTATGACAGTATCCATCTATGACAGTAGAAGTTTGGAGGAACCAGACAGAGAGGAGACTTATGAAGTATCTGCAGTCACCACAAGATCTCAAGAAAAGAAAAGCAAGCAAGAAATCAAGCCCCTGCAAGTCTCCAAAGGTGACATACCGATTGTAGGTTTATGAGAACTAAAGAGCACATAGAAGAATGACCCTTCACTGCAGAAACTTTGGGACAGTATCTGGCAGAAAGTTCAGTACAAAACAAAGTGGAAAGGGGCTTACAGAATTGAGGATCAGAAGGGAGTGATGTACCAGATCTATCAAGGCTGTTCTAATGAGGAAGTTAAACAGATCATAATATCAACAGAATACTGGACTCAAGTGATGATGTTAGCTCATGAGTGGATTGTTAGGTGGCACGTAGGAGGAAAGAAGATGGCAGACAGAATCAACACACAGAAATCTACATTGTCCATCACCTGATCATCAAATACTAGACTGGTACTCACTGCTGCACTGCTACACCCAGTGTCTTGTAGGATTTGTACTTTCTTGACTCTGATATAACCTTCACCTACTGGCATGTTGTGGTTTGTTGGCACCTCTTGAAGTTTGGCACATGTTCTGACCATCAATCATGCACTGATTGATGAATCTGATGAGTTGTCTCTATTCTGTTCTTTTGGCAGTGGCATCCATGGTGACAGTCATTCTTTTCTTACTTATTGCCAGCACCATCTTTGTAGATAGCTTCAGCTGCTTTATGTTGAGATTTCTGCTGTTGCTTGTTGATGACATTGTGCTTGATTTTATTACAAGAATAGCATCTCTTCTATTAATCTCTTGTCACCTTCAATGGCATCCTACTTCTGGTCAGTCACCCCTGGTTTCAACGTTAACCAGTTATTTTTGGACTTGCCAGTTATACTCTTTCCATGGGCTTCCATCTGTTGTCTTGCTGACTTGATCATCTCATCGACATCTTTTGGTGCTCTCTCTTTTAGGAACAGTGACATTTCAGTAGAGCACATGACCATGAGCTGTTCACATATTAATAGATCTGCCAAGTCCTCCAAAACTATCTCACTCTTGGCCATGTTAGTCCACCTTGTGAAGTATTGCCATAGATGTGTCACAAACTTAAATGCAGTTTCTCCAGTGTCAGGTTTGACTTTGAACTTCTAGTGAAAACCTTCTTCGGTAAATTAATAGCATTTCAACAAGGCCACTTTTAACTTGCTATAGTCCATGGAAGCTTCTGATATTATGCCCATATACTTGTACGCCTTTTCCTGTGAGAAGGAGGATGAGACAGACTGCTCAGTCACTTTTGTTTAAGTTCTGACTTTGGGCAAGTCTTTCATTCCTCTCCAGGAAAGCATGCATATCAACTTTATGTTAATTAAATTTGGGCAGCTTGGGCCAGCTGGCACTGATCCCATTGTCATTCTTGGGTCCTTAGTCTTGCTTTTGGGTGAGCTTGATGATCTCAATTTGTGCTCTTATTCTCTCTATTTCCAGTCTCTTTTTCTGCCTATACTCTTCTCTCTCTAGGTCTTGTTGTTGCTTAACAAACTCTCTTAGATCACTATCTTTAAACCTAAGTTACTCACCTCACTCAATCCAAAGTCAGTTGACATGGTCATGTAGTGTTGTGACTTCTACAATAGTTTTGCCACCACTACAGCTTTGCATCTATAGGCCTATTTGCCAGTCTCTTCTACTGCTGTTTACCCCTGTAGATCCTGGCTAGCTTACCAATGTCAGCTATTTATATATGTATGGATGGACTAGATTCTTTACAGTAGGTGTTTGTTTGTTGTTGAAATTTATTGCTAACAAGTCACAGACACCTATTGTAAAGAATCTGGTCAGGTTTTAAGAAAATGGTGTTGATTACTCACTGTTTTTTGTTATTAATAGATTCTAATCTAAGCAAGCAACCAATTTCGATCAGAAATAAAATTAACTGCCTAAATAATGCAGTTATTTTAATATACCTGTTAAACTATAGGAGTATGCAGCATCATAAATAGTATCATAGTAATTGAAAATCCCGTCGATTAGACAGTTGTTTCTCACAGGGTCTGATATTAAAGCTGAAACTTTAGACTTTTCTGAAATACAAAGATAGGAATCTTTGTACATGTTTTTATAATCAGAATGTCATTTTAACGCTGCCGTGTTATCTTGTTTTATATAAAACCTGTAAGGAAGAAAGCAAGTTTAAACAGCATGATCTTTGACCCTTCAATTGACGTTATCCGTCTGTCTCTATCTATTTACCATTGGTAGTCAAATGAGACATTGGATTCCTCTTGGTATCAAATTATTTTTTCAGCACTGTTGTAGAAAGCTTATTTATACTTATTTCCTGACCAGTTTTTGTACAATGTATAATGCTGTATCACTAGGATGATTTCTGTTAATTGTTGAAAATTTTTTATTGTATTTCAAAATTTGCAGTGCATACTCGAGGGATTTACACATTTTGATCATAAGATTTAAGAAAAAACAACCTTTACACTCCAGACAATTGTAAGAAAACTTATTTTAACTGATGTTTCAACCTTTTCTAAGCTGGCTATTGTTTTTTTAATACATGTACATATATATGTATAGACAGTGCAATACTAATCTTTTTATATATCCTAAGAACTTACTTGACAGTATTCTGCTGTTTGAAAGTTTTACTAATACACAGAGGAGGATAAGACAAATTTTATCTGTATTCAAACTAGGATATTGCTTATTGCAAACTGATTGTTTGGCAAAGAAACTTTAGGTCCCACTCTTTTACAGAGCAGCATTTAATTGCAGAGAATATTGACCTATTTACTAACTTTAATATATTTTGTCCTAATATATATATATATATACTAGCTGGAGTACCCATCCCCTGGACCGAAGTTATGTAACTACATGATTAATGAAAGAAATGCTATCTTAGGGCATGAAAACTTGCTTCCCTTATATGTAATTGTAAAAAATGTAAAAACACAAAATGTGAAACCACAAATTTGCATGTATCTTTGCATGGACCCAACAAACCTTTATGCCAAATTTGAAGATTCATCAACAAGGGTCAAAGTAGTGGTAAAAAATGCACATAAAAACTGCAAAACTGAAAATTTGTATGTATCCCCGCATGGACCTAATGAACCTCCATGCCCATTTTGGCAAAAATCCATCCAAACCCTGCAAAGTAGTTACATGGACATACAACAGACAGTACTATCACATTGATATAGATACATATATATTTCTCTCTTTTAATACACAAATTTATTGAAACTATGTGTTGTACAACTTTATCAACTGTTTCGTGACAAGGGAGCTCTGTCTTCCAAGATATGATAAGCAGGAATATGATATGAGGGAAGTTTGAGTAGAGTGGGTAACTTAGGTGGTTTGACAAACTAAGATACCCACTGTACCCAAACTTCCCTTATACACCTGCTTACCATATCTTGGGAGACAGAGCTCCCTTATCACAAAACAGTTGAAAATGTTATGTAACATTTCTAAAGTAATACACACCTGAGAATCACAGGCAGCACCCAGTATTAGTCCAAAGGCTTGTGACACTAACGATGTAAGAACTGATATAACAAGAAATATCAGAAACCTCAATGAATCGAAAGGTTGACTGGTCATCCAGTACACAATACTACTGTAGAGCAGGGAGAAAATTATCTGCAAGTAAGAAATGTAAGAAAAATAGTTAGCTAAAAGAATAATATAAAATGTTATCTTCTTATGTATTTATTATACACATTTCTAAGAGAAGTATAAAAATACATTAATACCATTACAAGAGAAAACTTGATAATTAAGTATTGAAGCATATTAAGCTTATAAATCATTATCTGCAGATTTATTATTAAGGGAAAACTTGCAAAACATCAAAAGAATTTATTTACTCACAGTAGAAACTCTGTCTTAATAGAGTTGGGGAATATAAAATGAAAAAATTGTGAATACAAATGAAATAGAACGATGTAATGCTTTTTACATCATTAAGAAACAGTTGACAAGAACAAAAAATATGTATTAGGCACCATTTAAGCAGACATTCTCAGAGGTAATTCATATTCATGTTGCAGTTGTGATTATGTAATAATAAATAACTGACCAGTCCTTGTGTTCATTATTGAACAACTGACATCAAATTCACCCTTTTGGACATTGTGGATACTTGATAGTATTATTAATTATCCACTAGGAATATATAAGCTCAGAAATATGATCTTGTTCAGCATACATATTTCAGATGGTATATTTAATATAATTAAAAAAAAAAAGACATTTGGCTTGCATCTATATTGATCCAAAATGTTCATTACACAGTTAGATATGAATGTCAATTTCCTAATAAAAATCAAGAATTATCTCATTACAAGTTACATAACAGCTTGTACAGTAAAGAAGAATATTTTCAAAACAAGTATCACATTTAAATCACCGGTGCAAATCATTCTCAAGTACAGCATTAGTTCAGGTTTCTTTGTATAATTTATGTTCTTTATGCCTATCATCTTAGAACTTGAGAATGATCGTACCTGTTTAAAAAATATTCTTCCTTACTGTAAAAGCTGTAACTTGCAATAAACTCAAAACAAAACTATTAAAGATCAAGAATATTTGCTGTTTTATCAGCAACAACCAGGAATCCAGTGTGTCAGCTAAGTTCTATGGACAGTTCCTTTACCGAAGAAAGTATGCTTGAGAAACTGTTTTGTTAAGTTGATTAAACTTTGATTTTTGGTAGACTAAGATGTAATATAACTTTATGTGTATTACTGTGGTGTATATAGTCAGTTTTAGAGAATTTAATCCAATATGTATGTTTTTAGTTTAATGGTTAACTATCAGAATTTGCTGTTTAACATTCCTACATAACACAGTGACCTTTATGTGATATAGATGTTGTAAAGCAAAGTTTACAAAAATACGTGTTGATGAAAGAACTGAAAAGGGTAGTACATAAATACTACACATCTTACTTTCACTCATAATATTCCAAAGCATGCATGATCAAGGTTATTGTGTTTCTTTTCTGATGCCATCTTACTTTAATATAGTATGTGTTGTATTACACAACAACAAATGTTTTGGATTTTCCCAAGTCCAATGTTTTAGATTCTCCTGAGTCATGACTAAGAACACAGTAAATCCAGTTCAGTTCATAAGCTAAATTCTAATCACAGAAACTATCTACTGTTTTGTGAAATAGTTGTATACAGTAATCTACTTTACAATGTGTATAGAAGATTGCTTTATAATAACCATAAGAAGCAAAAATATTTCCAGATTCTTGTGATTCACTTTTCTAACTGGTTAGCTACAGAGAGAAGGTAAGCTATGAATGCAGTTTTGGTGGCTTTGGAAGATTATCTTGTGTCTTCAATAAGAGAGTATATGTATTTATTTCCTGAAAGATTTAAGACTTGCTATTAAAGATTTGTCAGCATTTTAACCTTTATCGGATGCTTTTCTTGATCATATTATTTAAACTTTAATTAACCTTTAAATATTTTTTTTTTACTTTTCACTTCACACTATTACAATACAATAACCCTTTCCACCCATATAATCATCCATTCTTTTGTCTTCTTTTGCTTCAGTTTCACTTTAAGTTTTGTCTCTTTCATTCTAGTACTATATATCACTACACCTGTCTTTCTGCATATTAGGGTACTTGAATCTCTAGTAGTTACAGAGATCAGTGTCTACTAGGTATAACTCTGAACCACCACAGGGGCATTAATACTACTGTTTGTTAAGCCAGTGTTCCCCAACCAGTGGGTCACTGCTCACTGGTGGGCTGCAAAGCAATTTGACACGGACTGAAAAAAAAAGCTTAAGATTAGATGACAATATTTTAAAATATGTTGCAAAAAGCAAGAGCATAATGCAAACTACATAATACTTTGAAAATGCTAACTATAAATTAAAGTCACACGCACAAACCCAGTATAGCAACTATGAAATAACATTGCCATATGTGTCATATTTCTATAATTTTCTGTGGTGGGCTGTGTTATTAAAAAGGTTGAGAAATGGTGTATTATACAAATGATTCTTGTATTTAAAGTACATGGGCAATAAGTTAACCGTACGTGCGTAGGACCATTGGACCAACACCTAGTTTTGTGAAATTTTCCAATACTAAAGATGTATTTCCCATAGGTACTTTTTTCTGTTTAAATGATTAGCTATTCTCAATCAGTGGTGCCCTCTATATTAAATTTTTTCTTTATACATGCCACAAGATTTCTGTTCCCCCTATTGGAATCGAATGATTCCAGCATGTCTCTCATATAAATCTTCATGCGTCACTCCTCCACCAACAGAGTTGTGATTTACTTGACGGATGATGACTCCCTCTATACGTCTCTACCAAACTATTACTTTGATGTTTGGTAGAAAATGTAAGCACCAGAAGAGAATGGGGAGGAAGGGTGGGAAGTGTGAGTGGAGGGAAGTATCTATTGGAAATACATTTTCAGTATATTAAAATTATAACTTTCGATACAGTACCTCCCTCTTCTCACAAGATAAGCTAGAATCCCACATTGATTAGGTGGCAGGATCAGCACGAGGAAATAACAGAAGTACCTCCATAAGCATCTGAAGGATATCCCTGGAAATGAGAGAGTCAGAGCCAAAGATCTGATGAGGGGATCTGCACCACTTCTAAACCAAGTATACTCTTTGCCCATGCTTGAAATGTGTAGTAAATAAGGGTGGAAAAAGAAAGGAGCACATCCAAGTGGGAGAGAACTGTAGCAGGATAGTGATCCTAACCATTTAAATATATATGTAACTAAATCCCATAAAGTATAAAAGTGGGTAAAACAAAGAATGTGTTTCTAGGTGTAGAGTGGCTAGGGTGCAACAGACCATACTTGGTAAGTCAACTACATCCAAAACCCATGCCACTGGGAATCGACATCTACACGTGGTCAGGATGAGGATCATACTATCTTCACCTCAAGTTCAAGAGACTGGGAGAATCTAGAACCACTCCTGAGCATGACATGTGTTAGCTTTGATCTATCGATCTGGGGACCCGACATCTGGTATCGAAAGGATGTCTATATAATATAAATGAACCCCCAACAGTGAAATTGATTGGAACCATCCAAAAAGCAATAACATCCTTGTAATAAAATAAAACAAGGGATAGCAAAAAGGACAGAACTGGAACAATCTCCCTTACCTACACTGTGACTCACAACACAGAAGGAGTATGTTCGAGGGAGAAATATAGACAACCATAGAACACGTGTGAGGACTTATATTGATTGGTTCTACTCTAAATCCAAAACCCAGCCATGGGGTACCAACATCCAAGTGGGAATAGGATGACTGTGATTGTATATTGCATATTGGAAGATAGCATGTCATCTACATCCAAAGAACACCACCGCCCTACTCTGCACTGAATAGTTATAACCATCATTGTGTGGAACACATTTGGGAGGGTACCTTCAGTGTCAACCATTCCAGTGGCTTGGAACTAGAAAGTGTTTAGGACTCCCATACTTCACTAGAAGAAGGGGGCTGAAAAGGTGGTGGAGAATCTGCAGGAATGTTATCACCAAGACAGTGCAATGGGTGACCATGAAACCCTATTTTAAAAAGCAGACCATACCAATTTATTCAATACAAGGCATGGCAAGGATGGGCAGCTATCACCATCTGCTTTACCCATGCAGTCCATCGGTAGTACAGTTGAAGAATACGTGGTCAGGTACCACTCACCATAAAGCGGGAACCATATAATGAGTAAATGAAGCAAGGGCCCCTGAAAAGAAAAGTATGAATATAAACTTATCCAGCCAAAGTTGCACTGAATCCTGAAGAACAGCCACAGGCAGAAGACAAAAACCCAACAAAGAAGAAACTGCGATATGGTGTAAATAATGGGAGATGAACGTATTAGGTGTAATCCACATGTCCAATTGTAAGATTTCCTCCAATGGCCAACAAAGATGAGAGGTGAAAAAAAAGGTGAAGTGTCGAACCTGACGAGAAGACAACTGGAATAAATTCCAGGAGGAAGAAGCCAATTGAATCAAAAGTTGAACCCAACTGGTGTGGGTAGAGGAAAACAGCCAAGGGTTAAAGAGTTGGGTACAGGTACCATGGAAGGAATCTGTGCGGGCAATATAAAAATGAAGAGTATGGATTAGACATAGAAATCTATCCAGACAAAACAAGGATAGAGATGAGAAATAAAGGAAGGGAAATAGGTGAAAAGGAGGAGTTACCCTTCCTAGCCACCGAGGTCTTTTGGAAGAAGGAATGGTCCAAATAAAGAAGAAGATAGGTAGGTTGGTAAAGTGTAAGTGAAATGTCAATGGCAAACAAATTAGACATTTGTTGTCCACAGGCTAGGAGGAGAAGGAAATGTTTTAAAAGAACGGTAAAACATGGAACACATGTAAAGTGGTTCAAACGGTGGTAGAGTGAGGGACTGGAGGACCACGTTAATATCTCAGTCCAGAAGGGTAGGTCTTCTGAGGCAACAAGGAATCTGGAAGGAATGCACTAACATGATAAATTCGGGGGCTGCACCCCAAACAGGCAAAATGAAACCTAACAATTGTTGGTAAAGAAAAGGACAGTCAGCACGATGATATGCAAGAGCAAACTGATCTGAAGCCCATGGGGGGGGATGCTCAGGC